CGTACCGTACGGGGAGCCGGTATAAGTACCGGTGACACGTACGGTACCAGGGGCATTTCTGCAAAGGCCCCGAGGGCAGAACTGAAAAATGCAGTATTTGAAAGTGGCGCCCGAATTGCAGCATGGCGCCAGTTGTCCAAAATCCTACGATACCAAAGGAGGGGTTTGGAAAAAGGGTGCCAGGCCGAAAACGGGATGCAGCCGAAACAGCAAAAGATAGACCAGGGATCGAGCCCTGGCGAAGTCCGTAACAGAAGAGCTAAGTCTCCATCCTGGCCCACCATAGTCTGGTTGATCAAGCCAGATCTACGGCCCACCGTGTTTGTTGTTTTAGCGGCAGTGCCCTCACAAGTTGTGCCACGATAGGCTTTTCCTGATAAGCATTCAATCAAGACTCCCCAGAAGACTCATATGACTCGACTCTTACCCCATGCCGTTTCGCAGGAGTAAAACCCTCCTAGGCGGCCACACCTTCTAGGTCTTTACTCCCTTGGTCAGGTGTGGGCCCGCGGTCAGGTTGTATCGGCCCGCAGCCATCCCTAGGGGTTACGCCTTAGTGGTGCTAAAACTTTACCGTTTAGCTTGGTCTTCCTTATATGCCTTAAGATTAGCACAGGCGGCTGGACGGTGTGTCGAAACAATACAGGTCTACGCGGGACTACGCATAGGCCTGTCGCACATACAAGGTATTTACCAGCCCTCTGTGGGACAACACAGAGAAGACATGGCAACCTCTTCACATTCACAAACAAAAATCACCGCCAGATCTACAAGGTCGTGACCTCCTACCTTGATCAGAGTAGGAAAGTCACACATTTTAATGACACCTCTCAAAATCAAACATTTTGCGACATTCCAAAAACTTCACCAATGGCCAAACAAACTTGGTTCTTCTCGTCAGTCTTTATCTTTCAAAAATCAGTTTTCCATGTCATTAAATCTATTAACCACCTTTCTTATGAAGGAGGTCTCACTCAATAGGTCTCCCAACCATCCCTCTCTCTCTAGGATGAACTCTCACATGACCTTTTTTCTCAAAATATCCTCTCTTTTATGAAGATGACTCTCCCAAATAAAACATAAGACTTACCTCTTTTACTCAAAAGGCGTCTTAACCATAAAACAACACAAACTTAGAGGCCAACTTATGGGCTCTCAGCACAACTCAAACAATAAACATTCGGCATGATAAGCATTCGAGTCTCAAAGACTCATAAATTATTTAGGATCCTCACAGTCCTTTTTACAAAACAAACTGCACTTCCCCTCTTTATACTCGGCCCTATCATCCGCCCATGGGCAGATCGCACGAGTATACCGAAGAGTAGACAGTTCACACTCATCCATAATCACAATATATGAGCATATGAGAGATTTGTCACACATGCCTCACACAAACCATCATACATAAAGAAAAACCACACATGTGAGAGTGAGAGTGATCGTCATACACAAGGAAGTCGTCTCAGTATCTCTACTCAGTATATACTCAGGAATAAAATGCCTAAAAAAAAAACAATACCGGTGCTCAATGCCCTGCCTCTCTCATATCCGGCAGACTCATATCTCAAATGTTTCAACTCTCAAAACACTTATTAAAGTACAAGTAAATCTGAGTACAAAAAATAAAATTGTAGACCAAATATTACCAAGTATCACACATCTGAACTCTATTTCTCGAGTAATGACAGGAAAAAATTCAAATCTCGACTGTACACTACCTCCTACTTATGTACAAGTGGACAGAACATATATATCTAACTCATATCATCCATATTTCTAACTTGTTCTCTATGTACAAGGGCATCTCACTCTTACTGCCGTATAGACAAGCCAGCCTCTACTCACTCATCTCCTTCTGGTTTTGCCTATATAAATGAGCTCTACCCCCATCTGGAGCTCTCTCCACCACTCGACCATGTTTATCGTACATCCTTCCATCCTGCTCAGTAACCCTTCCTGCGGCCTTATCCTCGAGGAACTTAGGACACTTTAGGGCCCTGTGCATGCCATCCAAAAAGCAGAAGCACATAGACTCTGACTTCCTCTTCTTTTTCCGGGCTCCTGGCGACGGGAGTGCCCCTCCTGCCTCCCTTTCTACCTCGTGACTCTGAGGCAGGTGCCATGACTCCTCAGTCCTTTCCCCAAGTTCCTGAGCACTCGATTCCCCTCGCTGCTCACTTCCCTCGGGCTTGTACTTGGGAGTATCCAACCTAAGTGGCCTGCCCTCGTGGGTTATTTCTGTCACAGTCACTTCCTCACTCTCGCGAGGCTCCGAAGTCTGAGGAGTAGCCGCCCTTGCAGGCTGGCTCATGGCCTTCTGCTGTTGTTGCTAAGTGGTCTGCCCACCTGAGTCAGTCCCAGTGGCCCAGGAGCCCAACCGTGTCCTCAACTCTCTTATTTTTGGCACATGCCCCGGAGTCTCCAACCTCTGAGGCCTCTCTGGTGGCATATCTACTCCCATGGCCGCCACCAACTCGTCCAGACGCGACGACTCTTCCCTTTGTGCCTCAGACTGAGGAGGTACCACTGCTCCTGTAAGGGTCCCTTGCTGCACTTCCAAAATAATTGTTAGCGATTTTTCTGCAGCCCCTTCCTCTGCCGGTGCGGACTGGGTTTCCTGAGTTGGCGCCTCCATAGGGGCGCTTGCAGAAGTAGGGGCCTCTTGCCGCGAGGCTAACTCGGTGGAAGCCTTGAACTCAAAACTTCTTATGTTAGCCTCTCTCCTCGCCTCTACGTCGGCCGGGTCCAGAAACACCTTCTTTAGCTTTCCCTGTTAAGATGTCTCTGCCGCCTCCCCCTGGTCAAACAGTCCCTGCATCCCTTCACCTTGAATGCCATACCTGCTCTGTTCAGTCCAATCGACCACCTTAGTGGCTGAAAGTCTTTCCACTGCAGCTGACATCTCTTTGAGCCCCTTCTTCCACTCAGCTTCTTTCACTTCCAAGCGAGTCCTCCAGGCCTTATTCTCAGTTTTTTCTTCTGCGAGCTGGGCAGTCAGTTGTTCCACCTCTCCCTTCCTGAATGCCAGCTTATCACTGAGTAGAGTATACCTCTGGAAGGATGTGGTGGCGGCTTGTCGTATCCTTCTGTCCACCCGCTCGATGGCCCTCCTGGCGGCGGAAAATCCCAGCTCTCCGATCTCTATCGCCTCATCTGCCCTCTCACCTGCCTGCCCTGCCTCTTGTGACCTCTGGCGAGCTGCCTCCCGTGGACCCTCATATCTGGCCCACAACTCGTCAATCCTTTGCTCGCTTATCTTGGGGTCAGCTAGTGGTGTCGGCGATATCCCTGCAGCCTCCATTCTGTCCCTCTGCTCATGTATCTCTGCAAGACGGGTCTATATTCTGGCACACCTTGCCTCTGCAATCTCATCTGGCACCTTCCCCATCCTTACTTCGTGGACCTCCCTGGCTGGAGCCTGCGCACTCCCCTGAGGCTCGACATGCGGTGACCCAGATAATGGTCCAGCCAGAATAGGCACCTCCATATCAGGGTGCTCAGATGCATGCGCAACTAAGCGCGAATCAATAACCACACGGGGCTCAGTCCTCCATCCCTCTTTCGGTCCCCGCGCCTCAACCTCCTGTCTGGGTGACATAGTGGCTTCTGGCGGGGATGCTGGAATCTCCTGGATGTCTGGCTCCGGGACTCCCTCTGGCCAAAGTTGCCGCATCTGCTCTGGAACTGGGGCACGAGGAGGGGTGTCACCCTCTATCATAATAATCTCTCATCATGCAACGCCTCCTGCCCACGCGGCTCAGCCTCAGGCTCAGGGCGTGCTAGCTCCCCCCCTGCTGGGTCCGTTGGGCCTGCCTTCATTGACGGGGCCTCCCACTGGGAAGCATCAAGATGGGCCTCCAGACTCCTGAACGGTGCCCCTGATGACTCACCCTCCCTCTACTCTAATGATCGTGGCGAAGGTACCCGTAGGTCACTCTCAGTAACCTGACGGAATTCCACCTGCCTAAGTCCACAAGCGGGGAAGGACTATGTCGCCCGAGTAAGTCCTTCTCGCCCACCTTCTCGTTATGCCAAAGCCTTCCGCCCCCCCCTGGTCGCAATTGGCTCTCTTGGCTCCAGATCTCTTAGCCTCTTGCTTCGTCGCCTCCTATCGACCCTGGGTTCTGGCCTGCCTGGTTCTGGCCGCCAAAACGCCTCCCTTAATTGAGCCCGTCAATCCTCCCAGTTACATTCCCGATCCCGGATTTGTCTCGCCAGCGGTCGCTCCACCCCTCTGGTCCAAATGAGTAGAGTCTGCATCCACTCTTCCCTCTGAACCCCCTGATCACTCATATACTGCTCGTAGGCCGGGATGAATTCTTCTGCATTTCCTTCCTCCAGGCGAATAGGTAGCGCCCATCACGCCCCACAGGCGAAGCCCTTAATCTCTGCATCCTTTCTTTCACCTCTGGCCAGGCCAATGCCTCCTCCCTGATCTGTGCGATAGGCTCCTCGAACCTCTCAATCCCCCTCAAATGTCGTATCCTCTCAGATACGTCCCACCCTCTCTGGGTCGCATGGTCTCTGTAGACGTCTAGGAAGAACTCGATGTTGTCATTATCAAATACAGGTGTAGGCTCTCTCCTGAAGGGCCCATGCCGCTCTCTCCCTCGGATGTCCCAAGAGGTCTCTGTCGTGGCCGTGTGTCCCTCCCGCCCCTCTGCATGGCTGTCTTCGAGAAGTCAGACCTGCACATCAGACGAGAAGACACAAACAGGCACACAAGAGGATCAGCATACAGGCTCAACAGCCTTAGAGCGAACATACATCCAATCTCAGACACATCAAGCCCCTCTTTCTTCCTATCTGGCCTAGCCATAATCTGCGATACTCAGAACGAGGGTTTATCTAGCAGGGGATTATGGTTTTACCTATTCCCTGGCCACAAACTTCTTTAGTCTTGTCCCGATACCCAGTCTTTCCATTCCGTTCCATTCAACTCCTCGATCTGATAAGCCCCGAATTCACCGCACTACACAATCCTGTAGGGCCCCAACCACCTTTTGTCGAGCTTCCTTGACCACTGCTTTTCCAAGGAAGAGTCGTATAGTAGTACGATATCTCCAACTGCCAAAGGCTCTTTTTGCACTCGCGCCATCTGATCCCAGCGCATCTTATCCTCCATTCGACTCCTCTCTACATGCTTGGAGGCCTCCCGTATCCTTTCCTCAACCGCGCCCACCTGCCGTGCCCAAATATCGAGCAATTCCTCAAACGACAGGTTCGTCTCCAAGTCCTAGCGTCTCCAAGTCTTTAGGAAGCTCTCGATTGGGAAGGTGGCATGCCTCCCATACCACAGAGTGGCAGGTGCGTACTTGGTAGTCCTCTTTACTGTAACATTTTCCACGAAGAAGGCTGCTCGTAGAAACTTTGGCCACTGGCCGGGTCTGCCTTCCATCCACTTGGCTAGGAGGTTCGTGATGGACATTGATGGTACTATGTCCCCTTTCTACAAGTGCATTAGCTTGAGGTGTGCAACGGTAGTATAGTTTGCCACCACGTCATATCCTGCTAGCAAGGTCTGCACCTCGTTACAGGTGAACTCCGACCCTCGATCCATCATGAACTCTTTGACGAAAGGATAGCGTAAATAATACTCTTCGATGCAGCTTGCCAAAACAGGGCCGGTCTTCGCGCGAATGGCCCGACCGTCCACAAACCCAGTAAGGTTGTCTCGCGCATCAAAGATATAGTTACACCCATTCTCCGCAACTGGCATGAAGAGTAGATCCAGATGTACGATTGGGCCTACCTCTCTCTCCAATCTCGGGTGAAAGGGTTCTCCTAGCCTTTGCGTCGATATTTCTTGACAAGGAACACAGGATTGGCAGTACTTAATGACCATGTATGGCATTTCACTCCAGTAGTATAGCTCGCTTATCTTAGCGTACGTGGCATTTATTCCCTTGTGCCCTCCTACTATACCATCATGTAATGCCGCTATAATGTCGATTTATCAGTTCCTTTCGCATACAATCCACTTGGGCTTCTCGACTTTTCGTTTTATGAACAAATGGTCATCCCTCAACACATAGAGATGCCTCATCTTCTGAGTTTTAACGCTTGCATCCATATCCCTCATTTCACAGGATGGAAGTAAACCTAACTCAAGGTAGATCCCGTCATACTCCTCTGCCCGAAACGCCTCCTTTATCTCCCCTTCCTCGAACTCATCGTCCTGACTCTCAGGAACGAGGTCCTCGCCTTCAACTGGACTTAAGGAGGTCTTTCGGTCGAAGTCCCCTTGCTGAAGTGTATTCATAAGCAGGTACATCCCTCCCATCAGCTGCTCATGCTCCTCTACTTGAGTAGGGCCCTCCTCTATCGTTCTTACTTCCTCTACCAAGTCATGCGTACCTGCCAACGCCAACTTCATCATCCAGTGGACATCCTTGCCTCCCCATGGGTCCTCCTCCTGAAACGGCTTGAGGACTAAATCCGCCTTTTGCTCATACCCTCTAGGCGCTATCCATATGGGTTGGCTAACACAGTTGGGCACTCGCAAGGACCACTTGTTTATATGGAGCCGGACGTCCTCTTCCTGGTCCAAAATCCCATCAACTGGTGGAGTATCTTCGGTCGACTCCTGATCCAAGCTGTCCTTGTTGACACGGCTCAGGCCATCGGCCCTGTTCTTGTTCCCTGGAATCCCTTCCAATTCAAAGTTAAACATCCAAATGTACGTCAACCATCGAGTGACGGTTGGGTCAGATGGAGTATAGTTCTTCAGGAAATAGGCAAGCGCTGTGGGATCTACCCTCAATACGAACCTCCTGCCGAAAACATAGTTCCGGAAGATCCTTAGGCAATGGAGCACTGCAAGCGTCTCCAATTTAAACTGAGAGTAGTTCCTGTCAGACGTATTAAGAGTTCAACTTTCAAATGTTAGCGGTCTCTCCTTCCCTTCAACATCTACCTGAATTAAGACTCCTCCCAAGGCAGGCGGCCAAGCGTCCGTCTCGATGATGAAAGGTCTTTCTTCCTCAGTCCCTTCATAGTTAGGCGCCCCCAATACTAATCCTCTATCCTTGAATTCCCCCTTTATCCGGGTCACCACTTCCTCTTGATCTTCACCCCAAACCCATTCCTGATCCTGACACACCAATTTCCTTAAATGCTTGATCTTGGCGGCAAAGTCCTTCACAAAACTCCTCCAAAATCCGCAGGTGCCAATAAAACTTCTCACATCCGTTATGCAGTAAAAAGGTACTGGCCACTCTAAGATTTTGTCTGTCTTTTTCACATCCGACCGCTCTCATTACAGACAAAACCCAGAATGGTAGCTTCTTTCATGCAGTGCTTGGATTTTGGACCACTCGCAGTAAGATTGTACTCCTCTAACAGGCTCAAGACCTGATCGAGATCTTGGATATGCTTCCAGACAAAACGCCTTACTCCGGGCTTTACTTGGTCCTCCTCTTTCTCTTTTGGGCCTTTGACCACCAAGTCATGAATATAGGGCTGAGTGATGTGTGGACTGACCGTTTGCATGGCCCTGATCATGTGTCGTTGCACCATTGCCACTACATTAGTCCAACCCTGAGGGGCCACATTTATATGAATCAGCCCCCTTGACGTGTGCATTGCTGCTACTGGCCTATCTGGCGGGTATACAAGGAACTGGTCATACCCAGAATATAGGTCTATAAGTGAGATTATAGACCTCCCTGCGCATGACTCTGACAATGCATCCGCGTTTGGCAAGCCTCCCGCGTCTCACACTGTCACCGCATTCAACCGTTGCAAGTCCTGCACCCATTGCAGCGTTCCATTTGGCTTAATAAAGCAGAACCAAGGGGATGCATACGGTCCGCTAGAGTAACCGGCAACATGTGTGCGCATCTTGCCATCTAGATAGTCCACCACTATCTTCTCCTTGTCAGGATTCGGATACCACGTGCCCCTTAGATTCCAAGGTTCATGTGCGACGGTGTGGATCCGAATCATCGGAATCTTGTCCACATCCAGCCTTCCACGCTGATCATCATTAAAAGCGTACGCGCGATGCCTCTTCTTTATCAACTGCACCATCAAAGCCTTCTCTTGGGGTGAAAGGAAGCCCGGTTCTCCAACTATCAGCTTCCCTTCAGTCTCACTGTTGATACGGCATGGACCATCTAGTGCCTGCTCTCGCATACGCCGTATCAACCCTCGTTCCCACTCGTAGTAAGCCTCATCGTCTTCTGTAACGAGCACAGGAACAGGGCGACACTTCTTATCTACCATCTTGTACCGCCTTTGGACGCCCTGCTTAAGCCGTTCCCTAAAAAAGGTCGGCTTGACGTTTGGGGCTGTGCCATCGCAGAGCTGCCCCTTCCTCCAGGAAGTCGATAGATCAATTCTACTTCCCCCATCTGAGGGTTTTCCAAGACTTGCTCCCTCAGCGCCTTGATTGCCTCCGGATCTGCCATCTCGTGTGCCGTCACTATCTCCATAGCCTTGTTCACATCTTTGAGGCTTAGCGACAACACCTTCGCCCCTCCTTCCCCCTCGGGCTCTTCCCAAAACCTTCGCCGCTCATTCTTTGATTCTACAAAAGTGAACGAGCCAGGATTAGGCTGATTCCTCTCGCTCCCTGGCCCTGTGTTTCGACAGGTGATAACCTCATAGTTCTCACAGGCCGGATCGCTCAAGAGCAATATCATCGTTCCATCGTGCTTATTAAAGATCATAGTCTCCGTCCTGCACATGAACGATCTGCCCAGGAGGATAGGGTGGTCGACATCTGGCATGACGAAGAAGTAGGTTCTCGCCCGCACCTTGCCAATTTTTATAATTACATTGGACGTCGTGCCACAAAAAACCGCCTTGCAATTAGCCCCATGCAGCACGCCATGATCCGCACGGGAGAGACGGTTAATGGAAGGCCCAAAATTCGGCGAATTTTAGCGAATTTTTCACCGAAACTGTCATATTTCCCTGAATTTTTACTATTTTTTCAGTTTTTCGTTTTGCCTGTTATATATATATTTTTGGGTATATTTGTATTCAGTTTCGCCGTATTTTAAGCAGTAATAAAAAACTTAGCAAAAACACCAGACTCGAAAAACTCGACCCTGCATAGTTTGTTCGCAAAATTTTCGACAACATTGCTTGTAGCGACGCGGCGAAAAACCCCGTATTTTTGGCCTTCCATTAACCGCTAGTGGAACAAAGGAGAGGCGGTTAATGGAAGGCCCAAAATTCAGCGATTTTTAGCGAAATTTTCATCGAAACTGTCATTCCCTGAATTTTTACTTTTTTTTTCAGTTTTTTGTTTTGCCTGTTATATATGTGCTTTTGGGTATATTTGTATTCAGTTTCGCCGTATTTGAAGCAGTAATAAAAAACTTATCAAAAACACCAGACTCGAAAAAAACTTTGGTCAACTCCGAAAACTACTGACGATTTCACTACGATAGGGGCGTTTGTGCAAGAGTTCAAGAAAAGGGCGAGGAAAGTTCATGGGATCTCAGAAGAGGTGCAATGTGCCATCTTTCTGAGACTGCTTAAAGTATCAGAAACCTCCGAATTGACGAGCCATGGAGGGTGCAGTGCGAAACTCACATGAGCCACTATTGATAAGGGAGTAGAAGATGGGAGTTTGGATCAGGTAGAGCAGTATCAGATGCGCCTGCAGAGAAGGAAAAGGAAGGAAAGGGATGCTACCGCATCTGGGACTCCGGGGGTAAAGAGGATCGTTATCGACGTGCTTGCAGAACTAGGCTATGGCCAGGACGCCAAGGTACATAAGAAGGTGGTGACCGTAGTCCAAAGCCGGGAAAAGGAGGCAGGGGATGAAGGTACCAGGCAGGAGGACAACGGTGAGGAGGAGACGGTATCACAAGTTCTTACCAAGGCCCAGCGAAAACAACGTAACTTGCTGCTGGGAGGTCAAGGCTCGGGGAAGAGACAGATCCCACAAGCGATCGCTGCACCACCGGCTGCCGCCACAACGGCACATATGTTAGCATGACCCTCGCAGATGGGGCCGCCACCAGCCTATGGACATTGGGTGCCGTATTGTCAAATGGCACCCTGACCTAGTTGTAATCACTGCAACTCGTGCGGAACAGGCTAAGCCCATTCAGGACAGATGGTTCCATATCCGGGCCCATCAGCGAGCGCAGGGCCGCCAAGTTTCCCAGCGACCCAAGGTCAGTTCGCGGCCCAGCCTCCTACCTCGCAGCAAGCTTCGCAGGCTAGCATGGCAGGAGGAGGAGCTCAAGGGCAAGGAGGACAAGGCAATGGTGGTCGGGGACAAGGAGGTCGAGGGGGTGGCGGCCGAGGACGGAACGGCGGAGGATGCGGTGGTGGATGGAATGACCAAGGAGGCCAGAGCCAAGGCAACCAAGGCAGTCAAGAAGGGGGCCAAGGATATGGGAGACCCCGCTTTGATTGGCGAAATGCCGTCTGCCGGCATTGTGGCGTTGTGGACCACACCATTCGGTTTTGCCAGCAGCGGCGGGATGACGAGCTCGCTGGTCTAATCTCCACGAATATGGATGGGGATATATATGATAAATTTGGGCAGTATATTAACCCAAAAACCCCAGGGGGAGTTAGACAGGAAGCCCAAAGGCGGGTGGCGGCAAGGCCGGCGCCCCCGGCGATGTTCAAGCTATGGCAAGAGAGGGAGGACCCGCCCATGAGGATTGAAGAAGCCACGGGGAAGAGTGAGGAGGTGACCCAACGACTAAAAACTAGAACTATAAAAGAAGAACCAATAGTCGTTGAGTCGGATGGCGAGGGCTCAGGGGAGATGAGAGAGTCGACCATAAGAATTCTGGAGAAAATGGAGGACCTGCTGGGAAAGATGGGAAGGTACCAGCAAAAGCTAAAGGAATTGTGTGATGAAGTTCAAGGATGGAAGGCCGACCTTCCAAATGTCTTCCTTTATGAATCCAGGTCAGAACCGGTAACGGGGCAGCAAAGCTATCTCGGGGTCGCGACGGTAGGGTCGGGCCCTAGATCAGGAATGACATTCAGGCCACCTACCCCACATGGACGGGCACCACAGGCAGCGCAAACAAGAAACCAAAGTAAGGCTGGCCCTAGTCAGGCGCCGAGTCAAGCGCCTCCTCGAAGGAGACCTGAGCCCGAGCGTAGGAAAGAAGTGGTGGAGGTCGAGGAGGAGGAAGAGGATGAGGATGACGATACGGAAGATGAGAGGCTCCGACAAAAGAAGGACCGGCGGACGGAATTGAGAGCCCAAAGGAGAGGGGTCCAAGAGGAACTTGAGCCAGGTCAGCAGGACGCGCGTCCAAGAAAAGGAAGTACGCAATCAGGCTAGAAGAAGGCTTTGATGTGGAGAGAATGGTGGGTAGGCTCCTCGAAGGTCATAATGACCTTATGAACCTAAAAAACATTCTGGCGTCCGCCCCAAGACTCCGAGATGGATTGAAGGGACGGTTGTCTCGAAGGTTAGTGCCTAACGTCCACCTGAGTGCGGTCCTGCCAAGGGAGGTAGGATGGACGCAAGTTGGAACAAGGATGGACTAGAAGTGTGCAGCATGCGGGTTGGTGGATTTGGTGGTGAAAGAGAAGAAGTGTATTGCGATGATGGATACGGGCGCCGAGATGAACATCATCAGAGAAAGGGATGCTCTCATGCTTGGTTTAGAGATTGACCCACTAGTGGTTAATGGAGGCCAAAAATACGGGGTTTTCGTCGCGTCGCTACAATCAATGTGGTCGAAAATTTTGCGAACAAAGTATGCAGGGTCATAGTACAAACATCAAAGAACCAATCAGGCAAAAAAAAAGCAAAAAAATCAAACTCAAGAGCACTATAAATCCCTATTTGGAGTAGCTTTCGGAGTTCGCCAATGTTTTTTTCGAGTCGAGTGTTTTTGCTAAGTTTTTTATTAATGCTTCAAATACGGCGAAACTGAATACAAATATACCCAAAAGCACATATATAACAGGCAAAATGAAAAACTGAAAAAAGAGTAAAAATTCAGGGAAATATGACAGTTTCGGTGAAACATTCGCTAAAATTCACCGAATTTTGGGCCTTCCATTAACCGCCTCTCCTTTGTTCATGACCTCAAGGTCTGCGGTGGTTAGCAATCCATCGCCCAACCGATACTTGCGCTGCATACCATCTCTGAACCTTGCCCAGATACCATGGGCGGCGTCCACAACCTTTCCTACCTCTTGATTATGCCCACGAAGTACGTATTTCAAAATTCGCTGGAACTTCACCTCATCTGACAGACCTACCATCCCTTGTTCCACCAGATCCAGCCAGTCCGAGACCCTTTCCCCACTGAAGTGAAAGGTATCAACTTTTGGGACATTGCTTGGCGTCTTCTCATGTCAATCAATAGTCGCAATGAGGTCCTCAAGTGTCAGGACCTTCCTTCTGTCATCCGATGCACTGCCACACTCTGGCATTTTGGCAGACCTCTCTTTTGAAACTTCCTGTTAAGAGAAAAACAAGGACACTCGCCTATTGAGCGTCCTACCCTAGCAGGATCTATCCCACATGTCCTAACTAACTTCCCCACGCCACCTACCTAAAGCGGATATGACTGTCCCTCATAATCTTTCTAGGTCAAACTGACAAATAAACAAGCGTATGAAGTCACCAAGTTTTTCTTATCTGCACTTAATCATATACAGTCCTCCCTATGTTCTCATCATCTTCTTATGCCTATGTCTTATGTTAGTCTCATACCCGGATGTCGTTCCACCAGGGACAATGGTAGGCTTCCGTTATCCCCGACAACGGCTCCACCTGTCGAGCGCATCAGTCCGGCACCGCTCAAGGCAGCGCGGGACCCTCTCGGCCGCGTCACGCAGGAGTTAGTTTGAATCCTCGTCGCGAATATACATGGAGCTTCCGCAAGCTGCTCCGGCCGAGTGCGCCAGCCATACCTCTCGCGAGCCCCTACGACAGGACAGGGTCTACGCGAGGCACGACTTACCTCCACCTTACGGGAGCTGTCACCTCCCTCAGGTGGGCGTATCCCCGCCGAGCTACCAGTGCACAGTACAAAAGCTAATCATTTGCAATCGCAGAGGTGGACCAGCCGAGGGCATTTCTCGTTCGTTGTAGCATAGGGGGTACGCGCGGTATTACGCCTCTATCGGACCCGTACGTGAACCGACATCTTGGGGGGCTGAAGTCCCAAGCGCGATTCGTCGTCGGTCGACTAGGACGTACCCCACTCACCACGCGCACACTACTCTAACACATACAAAAAAAAGATAAGGACACACACACGCACTCCCACCACTCGTGGTCAATGGACCCCAGAAAATTCAGCGAATGGAGCACCGAAGCTTGTTAGCGAAAGATTACCGAATTCGGTAAAACAATTTAGCGAAATCAGTGTTTAGGTTTGGCGAAGACAAAATGTTTATTTATGACTTCGGGTTTTGTAAACACCGAAAAGTGGTTTCCGTATTTAACATACTAGTTCTAGGAAGTTATATCCCGAAGTGCTTTTGGCGTTTCGCTACCGAAAACGCACTTAAGGATTTCAGTGTTCTGTGTAGTTTTTTTGCGGAGTTATTTCCCAAAGTGCTTTAGGTGTTTCGGTACCGAAAACGCACTTCAAGATTTCGGTGTTTAATACATCATATCCCGAAGTGGTTTCAGTGTTTCGGTACCGAAAATGCACTTCGGGATTTCGGTGTTTTACTTAGGCAATTTGAGTGTTTATATCCCAAACTGCTTTCGGTGTTTCGGTACCGAAAACTCACTTCGGGATTTCGGTGTTTTACTTAGGCAATTTGAGTCCTTATATCCCGAAGTGGTTTAGGTGTTTCAGTACCGAAAATGCACTTCGGGATTTTTGGTGTTTTACTTAGGCATTTT